GTTAAAAGGCACGATATCTGCAAAATTATTTTCAAATGGTTCAGAAAATATACATTGAATGGAAGTCACTGATAAAGAAAATGAGGCAAAACATTAAGAAGAGGTATACAACCTCTATGCAATTCTTGCAATTTTTCTTGAAGTGTGAAATCATATCAAAATAAAAGAATAAAAAAAATCACAGCACTCTGTCAGTAAAGTGGAATTATTCTATGACAAAGGCATTTACTTACTGGCAAACAAAGATGTCAATATTGTCCAGTGGAAAAAAATGCGTAAGACTCATCCCTCCTCCCATTTTGTTAGATCCACTTGTGTATAGATGCATACCAAAAATCCATGAAAGAATTCAACATGGTGTTCATAACCCCCATCTCTGTACGGTGCAATCACGTAAGACCCTGTTTCTTTGTTTCCCCATATTGTCTCATTCTCCACCAATAAAAGTGAATTGAAAGAAAGGTCTTTCTTTCCAGGTGACTCTTCTAAGAAGAAGAAACAGAGCAGACCATTCTGAGCCAGTCCGAGTCATGTTGTGCTCACGGGCAGAAGAAACAATTGCATGATCCTCAGATGTGCTTTCTCAGCATTCTATAGGTAATTTCTAGTTTTCTCCTAGGCAGCCACACCTTACTGAGGATTTGCTTGCTCTCTCTCATTTAGATCGCCTGCCTTTACAAGAGAGACCACCAGGTAGATACAGGCTTGGAGTTTCTACTACCTCTCTACAGCTGTATTGTTCTGTTTGTGCCAAGCAGCTCTACTAATAACCGTCCTTTCAATTTCCATCCCAAACTCTGCTTCCAACAAGCCCTGTCCTTAGGCCTTCACCACTCCCCCCCTCTCCACACACACACTCCCCCAGCATGTCAGAACCACAGGGTGGATGTGCTTAGGCTTCCTGGAGCTCCAATCTTCTTCAGATGTGAGGAGGAAAAGATGTTATTATTAAAGACAAGCCTTCACATTCAGCCAAATGGAAAAAAAAATGACGTAAATTTTAAAAATAAGATGGGAAAAGGGTAAACATAAAAGGGGAACTTCAAATAATTTAAAGCTGAGATCATGACCTGAGCCGAAGGCAGACACTTAACCGGCTGAGCCACCCAGGCACCCTTTCTTTCTGATGTATACAATTTAAGCTTTTATACATTTTGAATTGATCCCGAAAACATCAGATCACTGGCAGTGACTGCAGTGTTTCATTGGGCTACCTCCAGGGTACACTTTGTGGACAGGTACTGTCGCCAAGAAATTAATTACCCTTTAAATTGTGTCCCATCATAATTTTCTTCCCTCTTTCCGTGTTTTGAGTTATGCACATTTCCAATGCCCCATGTGGTCATAAGGGGCTCCCTGCACAGCAGGGAGTCTGCTTCTCCCTCTCCCCCTGCCGCTCCCCTGCTTTTGCTTCTCTTGCTCTCTGTCAAACAAATAAAAAAATCTTTTTTAAAATTAAAAAAATAAAACTGACTTAGGGCACTGCACTTTGGTGTTTCTATAAGTGACAATAGTCTAAGTCTAGAATAGTTTAATAGACAGTTTTGCCAAGTTTTCCTTTGTGTATCTTTATTGAGTTTTATTCTTTTTTTAAAAGATTTATTTATTTGAGAGAGAGAGAGAGAGAGAGCACGCACTTGAGCACGAGTAGAGGGAGGGGCTGAAGGAGAAGCAGACTCCCTGCTGAGCCCAAGGTGGGGCTCAGTCCCAGGACCCTGAGAGCATGACCAGAGCAGAAAGCAGATGCTTAATCGACTGAGCCCCCCAGACACTCCAAGCAAGGTTTACTGAGACATAGTAAAGTGATAGTACAAAGCTTCTGAAGACAGAGGGGACCCGAGAGGGTTGCCCACCCTAAGTCAGTTTTAGAATGCACACAAAAACATTTTTCCCCTCTAAGCCATTCAAATTGCCTATAAAGACAACAGTCTCAATTATAAAAATTTTATAAAAATCTAAAATAATGGGAGGTCGACTCTTAGGAATAGGTCACTTTGAAAGAAGAGAGTCGTAACAGACAATACCAGTTTCCTCTGATGTAATATTCACTTGCTTGCTCTTCTGCAAACATTTTATTATGTCCTTGACCTTGAAGGCATTCTTTAAGTGGAATAAAGACTTTTTGTTTTAATAGCTAGAACATGGGAATCTATTCCTAGGTGGAACAGAGCATGCATATTTCACAGCAGCACCACAATGTTTGCACTTTAAAGGATCACTTTCAAATATAAACCATCTTCTTCTCATGTCTCAGTAACATGTGGACTGCCTATTTTGTTTTGGGCTCCCCACCATGTCTGATTTGGTTAAAACCAACCCAAAGAACCCAAATCACTTCATTTGAAAGCAGCAGGAAGGTGGTGATCATATAAAACCCTGCCTTGTCAACAGCACACAATGTTTTTGAGAGGAAACATTTTGATGCAAGGAAGCAACTCATTCTAACTACCTCAGAAGGGCATTAAATGGATCTCCTTATCTAAACAGCAATAAGAGGACAAGACTTGAATCAACAAGCCAACTAATTCTGTCGCTGGGTTCTCAGAGCCAACATGAAATAACATGAAATAACAACATGAAATAACATTCTGGAGCAGTCCCTGAGATAAATCAGGAAAAACAGCCAACTTCTACTTAGCACAATGCACTGCACAGAGGAGACATTCAATGACTGTTTGATGACTCTACAGGTCACAATAAAGATGTCCCTTTGATCATCTACTATAAATTGATCATTTACTTCATTCAACAAACATCGTTAAGTGTTCTAGGCAATAGGGATACAGTTGTAAGGAAACAAGATGAAAATTATTACTTTCTTGGAACTTACTCTCCAGTGGGAGTGGAGAAAAGTTAGACAGTAGATAACTAAAATATATAGTATAGTAGTGCTGACCGCTTAGGAGAAAAATAGAACAGGAAGGGTGTGTGAAATAATGAAGGGGAGCTAAAAAGCCAGACAGGGTGACCAGGGAAGAACTCCCTAGGAAGGTGACCTTTTAGTAAAGATGTGAAAGACAGTGCAAGTCACATGGATATCTCAGGGAAAAGCCTTCTGGACAAGGGTGGCAGCACATGCAAAGGCCCTGCAGCAGAGGAGTTTCAAGGGACAGCAAAGAGGCCAATGTGTCTCCTCCGCACAGGAGATGAGAGGAATGTGGGTGGAGAGGGCAAACCGCAGAAGCCCTGATAGGTCCCAGGTAAGGCTTCAGTATCTAACAAGACAGATGGGAAGTGATTAAGGTTTTGTTTTGTTTTGTTTTGTTTTTTGTTTTTTATTTTTAGCAGAGAACTGACAAGACCTGGCTTGGGTTTTAGCAGCCTCACTTTTCCTGCTTTGTGGACAGCAGACAGCAGGGGAGCAAGGGCTTAGCTGGGAAGGGGAGCTATTTGTTTTAAAATGCAGAGTCTGGGGATGCCTGGGTGGCTCAGTACGTCCTCCTGCGTGGAGTCTGCTTCTCCCTCTGCCTGTGTCTCTGCCCCTCTCTGTGTATCTTTCATGAATAAATAAATAAAAATCTTTAAAAATAAAATAAAATAAAATGCAGAGTCTGGAGTTCCCTGGTGATTCTTAGGCATAGCAAAATTCAAGAACTTCTACTTTAAATTATCTTGAAACAAAAATTGATTTTATGATCTAATTCTTTGGTGATCACCAATCCAGTGCTGCATTTTGCCAGTGGAGAAACAGGATCTAAGCTACTGGACTCACTTCAACGAACAACCTGTCCATTCAGCTGCACAGTTCCAAACAGCGCTTCAGAAAAAGATCCGCCAAGGGACCCTGGCCTCTTGCTCTGTGATGCAGGACACCCTCTGGGAGAGATCTCCTCTGCAGAAAAGGAAAGTAGAGCCAATGCAATCATTCAGTCACAGTGTATTTGATAAGGTCACAGAGCATGTACTCCATAAATAGAAGTTTCAGGATTCAGCCCAAGGAGGGCATCTGAGCAGGTGACTTTCCAAAACTTTTTAAAGTAAACTTTTCAGTTCCTTTTTAAGTAGAAGTTGGTGAGCACTTGTATCTTATTCTAAATATATAGATCCTACATTTTTAAAAATATTTTTATTTATTCATGAGAGACACAGAGAAAGAGGCAGAGGCAGAAGCAGGCTCCCGGGATCAAGCCCTCAGTCAAAGGCAGATACTCAACCACTGAGCCACCCAGGAGTCCCTACCTCCTAAATTTCTATTAAAATACACTTTAAGTATGTATCTCAAAATGTTTGATTACTACTTTTTAAATACACCAAGAGAAATTTATATTCACAAAAGTCACAACAATTCTTTCTGATTGAATTTCGCATGCTAACGGTTAGCATTTGTGTGACACTTTGTAATTGAGATGATGAGACCCAGTTCCACAAACTGTACATAAAAATTTCTTTCTAACTCTATAGGCACTCTCCACACAAGCGCACAAACACACACGCACGTGTGTATCTTCACTAGCGTGTAATCCATTCAAACACTGTCTTCTATTGACTTTTCCTCTGCTTTTATTCCTTCTGTGGGCCTCTGCAATATTTTATGGGCCTCCCCTGAATACTGCACCCCTCAAACGCTCAGGGGAAAGCCCAACTGACCACTGACTGGCCCATCTTGAGCGATGCAACCCTGAGAATTAACCACCAGAGATTTTGCTCATCTATTCAACTTCTTTGGCTCTATCAAAAACAAAGTTAATTTTTTTTTAACTCTAAGAGGATAAAAACCTTCAAAATGGAAAGAGACTTAAACATAATGAGTGGATCTGCTGGATCCATGTGTTGGTTTTCATGAGAACATCTACATCCTGCCACTCTTATGTCCTCTGGCCCAATTTCTCGAAGGGTTTTCACCGTTAACGCCTGATTTCATGTGAATCTTTTAAAAGGCGCCTAACATACCGAGTTTTTGAAAAGCGTTCCTTGTCAACGGTCTGATGTGTCACCCAGGGATGGGTGATCGTTTTGAATCACATGCAGGGAGTTGGCTACAAATCACAGACACGGATTACCTTCTCGAGTGGAAGACGCCTCTAGGTGCTGAAGCTGGAGGCCGCTGTCTAACCTTTGAGGCTTTGTAGACAGAAATAAGTAGCACAGGACACAGACGCTGATGACAAAGGCAAGTAGAACAAGGGCAGCAGTTCCCAGTCCAACCAGGGCACCGATGCTGGAGGAGACAAGAAGAACATCCTCACTGTCGCACAAAATGGTTTGCACACACACCCTAGAGGGCAGGTTTGAATGTTGTTCATTCTTGCTCCAGGCACTCCTAGCCAAATTATATATTAGTACAAAAGGTCTCTGATTGGAATCTAAAGCTCACCTCCTGCCTTCCGCAGGTTCTTACATTTTCTCGATACATTTACATGGTAATGTTAGTAATAGAATATCATGCGAGCTCAGATGGCAGGTGGATGGCCACATGATTCTCTAAATACCGCAAAGGAACCTCTGTCAGTATATGTTAGAAGCAAACATCGTGTTCACCAACAAAAGGGGAATTAGCAAAATACTCTCTGGGACAAAAGTAGCGATGCAGATGTAGAACTTTTCTTTTGGAGACGTGTATGGAAGAGGGCACCTACCAATACACGAAGCCACAGCTCTTCCAAAAGAGAAGAAGGTTTAATGAAAGGGAAGCAGTACTTATGAAATGTATATAAAGTCCAGGTTTAGCTGGGTTTTTCCTTTCTAAAAGAGCATAATAGTGCCTCTAGTGCCAAGGAAGAAACCCTTGTGCTTTTCTCCAAAAAGGGGGGGGGGGGGATATCTGATACTCTTTTCTCCGCATTAACTTTGTAATAATTCCTTCCCAGCAGTTATCTAAGACTAATTGTTTGAGAGGTAACACAGTTTACATAAGCCTGTGAACTTGATACTTTTAAATAGGAAAAGGATCTTGGAAAAAAAATTATCTCGAAAGACTAATAAGCTTTCCTTATTATTTTGCTTTCCAATGTATGTAAACATGTAGAGAGAGATTTTAAGCTGCTCAAGAGCACATAGTTCTGTTGACTTGCCCATAGTGTAGTGCCCCCGACAAGTGTGAGATGTACCCAGGGAAGGAGGAAGGGGAGACTCTGACCAGGGATGCTACGTGTGTTAGGGCTCTGGGAAGAAGGAGAAAAAAATCAAAAGTGAGCCGCTAAGCTTATTCCATTTATTTTGATTTTAGGAGATAAAGCCCTTCTGCCATTTAGAGATGGCCTCCTTGGCCACAGACTTGGAGTCAGACATCCAAAGACATGTGTGTCTGCTATACTCATGTCGGCCCCTACTGAAGACTGGATAATTTTGTGGTTAGAGTCAGTACGTAGTTTTATATCTAAATTGGACTTCGCCCTCGCTTGTGCACTCTGAGTCCAAGGGGTAGACTCCCTGGCTCCGGCAACTCCGCTTTCATGTTAGTTTGCACCAAAGCTGACTTTTGTAGAGTATATGCATCTGGGAACGTTAGGACTATGCACAGACACAGGGGAACATAATCCACTTAATTAACATTAAGTTAATGTTGCCTAAGACAGCTAGGCTGCCGCACATCTAGGAAGATTCCTGAAATGAGAACAGGTTATTAAAAAAAAAAAATCTTCAAAGTAAAAAAAGTAATTTAGTCAATTTAAAAGTCAACTTAATTAAATTCAACACGCATATTGTGAGCTTTCAATGTGCACAAATGAAAAACCAGCCACATGATTTGAAGGAAAAAGCAAAGCATGCTGTTGCTGCTTTCTATTATAAGGAAAGAAGGTCCTGTATAATCTTGGACAGTTAGTGTCACAGTTCCACTACATTGGAAATGCTGCTTCGTGCGCACAAAACTCTAGATACATCTCCTAACATATTCATTTTGGGAAATACTTACTGACCTCATGTGTTGCCCTGTGCAATAGGTATTATTTTCCTAGTTCCTCAAAGCAGGTTGCCAAAGGAAGCCCTGAGAGGTCAGGGACTTATTTGTAAGAGAAGGAAGGATGCTGTGGGAGGATGGTTGGGGGGGGGGGGGTTGGTGGAATGCAGAACAGGCCAGATGATCCCATCCTCGCAGCATCCTGGGCTCTGAAGCTACAACCACGTTCACGTTACCTTTCCCCGCCTTAGCAACTTCGCTTACCTGGTAGTAGCTGCGCCCCACCTTTCTCCAGCAGCTGCAGAATCTCAGAACAAATGCTAGTGGCTTTAGAAATATTTCCCTCATGGGGACTATTTTAAATTTGGGTGGAGAGCAAAGAATAAGAGGGAAATGAAGCTCTGAATTTTACTTCCCCAGTGCGTTCCCAGCGCTCAGTAACTCACAGGATCCCCAGGCTTAACATGCCAACAGATGCCATCAGTTGAGATGGTTTTTATGTCTCCCAGGAGCTGAGCTCTCCTGTCCATGTTGTCCAGGCTGAATGAAGACCCCAGCTAGCTAGTCGTTCTCTGTACCCTCATAAACCTATCCTCTGCTGCCTGTCACTTTGGAACTATTCAAGGGTCTGAGAATCCCAGACACTTTTCTGACTGAGTTTGACTTAAGAGTTGCCAGTCTCTGTTGGAGGTGCTGCCCTCATTATTAACACCTCCAAAGACTCAGAGCTGGCTTCCAAAAGTGCTATTTTCCAAAAGGCCGAATGATATGCAATACTGATTACTTCTCCAGATGAGAGGGGTAAGCCACCACTATTTTCTGAGATTTTGCCCCACTCTGGCCACAATACGACGTTGTCACCTGAACTGACTGGTTAGTGACACTCCTTTGGAGGAGTTTTTGAAACTCACAGTATTAAAAAAAAAAATTATTTCATTGCCTCCAGAAGTAACAGTTACAATCAGCCGTTGGAGACTGGACAAGTGTGACAAATTCTGGATCATGCTAGAGGATTAGAGAAATAACACTCTTCTGCTTGCTAGCAGCGTCTCTCTCTTGTCGGGCATCATCAGCTCATTGGTTTGTGAGAAACCAATGAAGGTGGGTTTGGAGTTCTTTCCCGTTCATTATCCAGGCAAAAACCAAAGGATGGAGTTCAGAGGTTGCAATCTTCTGGAGTAGAAAGGGGCGGGGGGAGGGGAGCACTTCACAGTGAAAATACCTGCATCAATAGTAGGTGGACTAAGTAAAATTGCCATCATAGGAAAAAGAGGCAAGGAAGGCTCCACCTTAGAAAGTCTCCTGTCTGGGGTCCCTCGGTGGCTCAGCGGTTTAGCGTCTGCCTTCGGCTCAGGGGTGTGATCCTGGAGACCCCAGATCAAGTCCTGCATCGGGCTCCCTGGATGGAGCCTGCTTCTCCCTCTGCCTCTCTCGAATAAATAAACAAAATCTTAAAAAGAAAGAAAGTCTCCTGTCTTGGCTCCAGGGGCCAAGTGGCCCACGTGTTAATCAAGGGGTGTCCTGTAAAGGTTCTAAGGAGCGGGTATCACAGCAAGTAAAACTTTCCCTCTGCCTGTGATCCATCAAATTCGGTTCAGGGTCATCTGAAAAGAGCAAATTTGGGGAGTCCAGTCGCTCTACGCGCGCGCACGCCTCTTTTTGATTCCTCCGCACCCTCCAGGAGACTTTAAACCCTTTAAACACTCCGGTCTTCGGTGAATACCTAAGAAGGCGCCCCCCCTCCAAGTGTCTGTCTCCCCCTTTGTATTCAAATGTACCAAATGCCCGAACAAATGCAAAAGAGCGAGAGCTGTGCGCGCCTGCCCCCCGCACCCCGCACCGCGCACCCCAGCGCCCAGGGCGCACAGCCTCGGGGGGTCCCTCGGCCGGGCCGGGGGTCGGGGGAGCAGGGGGTGCAGCACCAGGCGGGTCCCTCAGCCGCCCCCCCCCCCCCAGGGAGCCGAGCCTGCACCACCACCACCCCCCGGAGCATCCCCCCTCTCCATCCCGGGCCCGCCGCCTGCGCACCTGAGGCTCCACATGTAGCCGTGCTTGTAGGGGAAGTAGCTGCCCGGCTCCCCGCAGCAGTACTTGAGGTCTGCGAAGCCGCAGCAGTAGCGGAGGGCGGCGCCCTCGCCGCTCCGGGGGCACTCGAAGGGCTCCACGAAGGTGCGGTTGAGGCTGTAGTAGCCCGAGCACACCCGGCCCGCCTCGCTCATCGCGGCCCGGCTGCGCTCCTGCGGGGGGGCGGCCTCCGCGCGCCCCCTCCCCTCCCCTCCCCGTCCGACCCTGGGCCCTTCTCCCACCGCGTGGTCTCCTGCTCGCCCCCTGCCTTGGGCGGCTTCCTCGCGCTCCCTGCACCGGCACCCGGGAGCTCAGCTGGCCCCGCGGCGCGCCAGAAAGCGAGCTCACCCGCAGGAGAAGTGCGGGTGTGGCAGGTGCCTGCCGTCTGCACAGGTGCAGCCCGAGTTGCTGCGCCGCCTGCCCGGGATGGGGGGGGGGGCTCCGGGCACGCGAGCAGGACGGGTCCCCCCCACCCTCACCCCCCACCCCGCAGAGCCACAGCCACTGCGCTGCCCCGGGAGCTGGGAGGGGGGGTGAGGCGCACCCCGACTTTGAGAAGGACGCGCGACCCCCTAACAGCTGCCAGTTCAAAGAAATCAAAGAAGCAAGGTTTTTTTTTTTTTGTTTTCACCCCAAAGCTGGCCGTGCGTTCCGCATTCTGGGAAGCGGCCCCGCAGAGGGAAGGACAGGTGGCGGTGAGGACCTGCTGCGGAGACGGAGACCGGGAGAAGGACAGGGGGGCAAAGGACACCTGGAGAAAGACACCGGCCTCCGTGGGGAAGCGCTGCAGAAATTTCCCTGGTTCCCCCTCTGTGTCGTGTTCTCACTTAGGGACGGGGGTGCTCATAAGGGTGGGAAGGGATGCGGTTGTAATAGAGCAAACCCCTGTCGGTGTGCAAAGAAGAAAATGATAATAGCCCCAAGCTGGAAAAGGAGGGGACTGTGACATTCGTCGCATTTGCAAGACAGAAGAGCTGTCCTTGCCCTTGGTTTTCTGTGTCTTTCCCTCCTGCCACAGGGTTGATTGGATGTTGCGGTGATACCTTGTTGGGCGCCGGGTATTTCTGTACAGTCTGAACACTCCCAGAAATGCTCCCGAGCCTTGTGGAACCCGGTTAAGTCCCTGGGGCGCAGTTGGGGGTCCCTCAGAGTTTGCTTGTAACCTTGGTAGGCAGAACCAGAGCGGCCTGAGGACTGCATGCTCCGCATCCCTGACGGGAGGTGAGGTGAGGCCTCTACTCCACGCCGCATGAATCCTGAGACTCACCAGTCCGGCTGGTGGAACAAACTATTGCAGGCATCCTGTGGATCATAGGTGTGCTTCCTCTGCTCCTTTTATGTGGGTCTTTTCCTGGATTCTAGTAGTTTCTTGACAGACATGTGCTCATCAGTACTCAGCTGAAGACTCAAGAAGATCCTCCAGTGACCTCTCTCTCTCCAGTTCTCTCTCTCTGTCTCTCCATCTACTCACCGGTACTATGTCTTGCCTTTGGGGACCCTTGTCCTGCACAACCTGGTACCCATGTTCAGTACCTGTTGTTTCTCATTACAGTGGTTGAACGTTTTGGGGCAGAAGGGCTAATCTTGTCTCGGTGAAGCCATTTTAGCTGAAGTGGGCCAGGCGATTATCCAGGGGCCAGTTGGGTTCTCTGTCCTGGGACTGGGGTTCTACCCTGGCGACAGGAATCCACAGGGTGCTGGTCTGCAGAAAAGACAAAATGAAGCAGGGAGGAGCCGCACAGAAGGGTGGAGAGAGTGCTCATGGTTTTGCAATTCAGTGCAAGTCCTTTCCTGAGACCCATCCTACTCCTATTACTGCAATTCTGGGGACGGCCCTGACCCCTTAGAGTAAAATGCCCTTTCTGGCTGAGGTGCCTTCCCCTCGGAATCTACTGCTTGCACCCAAAGGGTTCTAAGCCCTGCAGCACAGCTGCAGGTGAAGGCCAGGGCAAAGGCAGTTAAGAGACAGACCCAAGAGCTGCTGGGCCAATGAAGCAGGGAGGGGGGTCGGGAAGGGGCTTTAGGCTTTTCTTCCCGTTGTGCAAGAGGAAAAGAAGATGAAAAGAATGAAAGTTCTTTTGGGCGGTGATGGCAACTGTCTCAACAAAACGCATCAAAGTCTGCCTGGAGTGGAAGACATCAAGGTGGAAGAAGCTGAGAGCAAAGGCCTGGAGACGTGCTCGGGCAACAGGCAGAGCAGAGTACAAGGACCGGCCCCTCGCCGAGGGCCCGGGGTATGATTAGAAGTCCTGGCTCTCCGGTGGAACCAACTTGCTGGCTCCTGTGATTTTTCTTTTTTTCTTTTTTCTTTTTGCAACAACGAACAGTGGATGGTGGGGAAACAGGAGCAGGGAAATGAGCGGTAGGACTGGGCAGGACGATTCTCTGGGGCTGTGCTCTGGCCCCTGATGCCTTTGCAGTCACATCGGTGCCTCGGCCCTGCCCTGGCCCCAGAGCCACACCATATGCACGGGAAACATGCACACAGAGAAGGGCACGCGCACAGCTGCCCGACTCCACCAAGCCTGGAGTACCTTGGAGCCTCTGAAGTTCAAGTAAACACAAGAGCCTTTTAACACAAGAGATTTAAGAGCAGGGTCAAGGTTGAGGCTTTCAGCAGCACAGGTGGAGAAGATGCGCAGCCTGCTTGACTTGGCCGCTGCCTGGTCCCCCCTGTGACCGAGTCCTCGGCTCTCAGCCTCCAGGCAGGAGTGACAGCCAGTGGGGTGCAGCTGGCCCAACCTCAGAAAATTGCCAGAAATTATACCCTTCATTTTCACATATCTCGCTGGTTCTCAGCAAAGATGGTACCACCCTTTAGGTAATATTTTGCATGCAAGTTTGGGTGGTCATGATGCCTGAATGCCCACCTGGTGACAGGGATGTAGGCCAGTGAGCTAGACATCCTGACATCCTGCAACATCTACAGAAAAATGAAGAACTGTCTGTGACTTTTCAAACGTGCCACGGGATATGCACATGGATGAAAACCGTATTTATGCACATCTAAAACCCGTTCCTGTGTTACAAATGAAATACAAATAAGCATTTGTTGAATTTTCCAGGAACGTAATTCGAGGGAAATTGTTCTTTGTTTTGTTTGGAACTTCACCAAGTTTTTCACTCTTGGAGAAAATCTTGCACCAGGGGTAAAGTCGCTTGAGATTTGGTATTTGAGTTGCCAATACCGTGCACTGTCTCTGCTGGCCGGCATCTGCGCTGTCACTCCGTAGTGACTTCTAGCTGCTGCGTGCACGATATTGGTGTAAATGTGTCTCTCGGTCCAGTCGTGCTTGAGCACTTCCACGTGGAAACACATATTATATATAGATTCCCTTCCCTTTATTTCTTCATCATACCACAAGGAAGCCATTGCACGTGTCGTGTTAGTTTGCTTAGGGCCGTTGTAACAAAGTACCACTGACTCTGTGGCTTTAACAGCAGAGATTTATTTTCTCAGAGTCCTGGAGGCTGGAAGTCTGAGATCAAGGTGTTAGCAGGGCTGTTTTTTTCCAGGGCTGTGAGGGAAGGATCTGTTGCAGGCCTCTGTCCTTGGCTTTATCGCTGGCCATCTTCTCCCTGGGTGTGCACATTGTCTTCTCTCTGTGTCTCTGTCTGAATTTCCTCTTCTTATAAGGACACCAGTCATAATTAGGGCCCACTCTTACAAACTCATTCTAACTTAATTACCTCTTTAAAGACCTTATCTCCAGACTGAGGTGCTGAGGGCTAGGACTCGGTCATATGCGTCTGGGTGGGGGGTGGGAGGGGAAACAATTCATCCCATACAATTGGGTATGTATGTCCATCCTACCATATATACATTTTTCTTTCTTTTTGTTTTTTAAGATTTTATTTATTTAGTCATGAGAGACAGAGAGAGAAAGGCAGAGACACAGGCAGAGGAAGAAGCAGGCTCCATGCGGGGAGCCTGACGTGGGACTCGATCCTGGGTCTCCAGGATCACTTCCTGGGCCAAAGGCAGGCACTCAATCACTGAGCCACCTGGGCATCCCAACATTTTTATTTCAAAATAGCAAAGGGAGACTTACAGGGACACATCTTAAATGGGGGACACTGAGTCTGACAGGGCTGAGAACTGCTATGATCTTTGCGTAGGACAACTGCATGTGGCATGTCTCAGAGGTGAGGGTTGCTCCTTACCTCTGATCTCCAGCGCAACATGATTCACCCAGGACTGGCAGGCCAGAGCACGTGGAGAGAGATTGAAAACAGCAGCCATGTGGCTGCTGGGTTAAAGCAAAACAAGGCTTCAACTGAAGCCGACTTGGCTGCAGGGAAAATGAAGAGGCCAGATGAGTGCTTTGCTCAAAAGCCCTCCATAGATCCTTATTTTCAAACCCGCTATAATCAGTGCCACTCTCCTCTCCGCACTCCGTTGCCCTCTAGGCCATCTCTAACTGCTCTCCGGCTCTGGCAAATCAGCCTCCCTCCTGCCACGGCAACCTCTTCATTTATTTTTCTGTCCAAGGGGTGCTTTGACTTGCTTCTCTCTCTTGAAATCTTTGTCCAAAGCCCAGCTAGCGGAGTCTCGTGCCATCCAGCTCCCTGAAGCTGCTAGACTCGGGCAATTCCTAGGTAGGATGGAATTGGAAAGGACACACACGAAGAGGCCACGAGGAAGCAGGGGTCGTGAGAAAGTGAACTCACGGCTTCCAAGCCCCGGGCAGCAGAACGTACACGTACACACACGGAAAACCAAAAGGAGTAAAATTACCGGCTAGTGATAAAAGAAGGTTAGAAGTGGGAGGGGAGGGGCTCTGGGGGGCTCATGGTTGAGCATCTGCCTGTGACCCTGGGGTCCTGGGGTCATCAGGCTCCCCGCAGGGACCCTGCTTCTCCCTCTGCTTGTGTCTCTGTCTCTGTCCCTGGGTCTTTCATGAATAAATAAAATCTTAAGAAAAAAAAAAAAGGTGGAAGGGGAGTTGCTGAGTAAGCGGAAGGCCGATGGTGGGCGGTGCTGACATGTTCTTGCTCCCCTGGGGTGATGCCAACCCTGCCCCTGAGCCCCTGGCGGACCCGTCTCCATGAGAGCTGGCTATTCCTGGAGTCATGTGAGTGCCCTGTGGTTGGGACAGAAATCACCTTCAACGTATTTCACAGCCAGGATTTGCTGTTGAGGAGCACAGAGCAA